GAACAATCCTACTGCACTGACTATATGTTGTGTTTACTGCTGCCAGGTAAGTTGCAGGTGTCCCTGTTCATTGTAGGGGTTGGTCTAGATGGCCTTTAAAGGTCTCTTTCAATCCAAACTATTTTATAATTCTATGATTTAAGTCTTAAATACAGTTTTAATAAGAGCTATAACTATTTATCTGTAGAGGTTATAACTCTGTAGTTATGTCTTCTCATGTTATGCCATCTCTAAAAGCTCATCTGAATTAAAAACCTCCTCATGTGATGCAATCTCAGTCACTCCCAGCAAAGGCTCCTCCTGTCAGTTCTCCATCCTAAACTGTCAAAAACTAAGGAAGAAATTTCCAGGGGGGGCCACAGGTTTTGTTTCCTAAACACCGTCCTATTCCTGCTGTGATACAAATTCAGTAATAATGCTCTTGGCAACTTGTGGATGGCAACTTCTGAGTGTGGGACAATGACAAGTAGATATCAATGATCACAGTCTGTAGCTGTTTTCCAAGCAATTTCATGACCTTCTCTTTTACTAATTCCCCTCACCACCCCACCCCCAAAACTCTGACCTTCCCGATTCGAGTTTCAAAGTTTTAGTTATAGGTTGAAAAGCATACATATATTAGCAGACCAATTACTTTTACCTGGAATTCAAAATTTGCTCAAGTAATTGTCCTCCCTCCTCATACTAGTCCCATATCATTACCCAAATTGGTTTTGGAAATTGTGCTGCCTCTCAGTGGGCGCTTGAATGAGAATTTGATGATGATGAAAAACTCCTGTCATTGTCCTGTTGTTTGGGAAGCTCATTACGTGAGATACAGACTGTAAGTGATCCACTTGTTTTATGGGCTTCCATAAAGATAACTTAGAAGGTATAAAACCAAGTAACTGCATCTCAACAATTTAAAGCCAGGAGCACTACAATAATTAAAGGATCTTTCTAAACTGTACTGGTAGAACACGCAAAACACTATAATCAACTTATCTGGGGAAGTAATCAGACAATAAAAACTGAGGCATTTTAGGGACTAATAAAGCTTGAATCTAATGACTATAATAAATCTTTAGCTGCAGCTATTCCAGAACAATTTCCCTTGCAGTAAAAAGTATTCTACAGGGCTTTCTGTATGAAATTATTACTGGTTGGTTGGTTAGATGTTGATCATAAGAAACAATTGAAGAACCATAATTTTATTTTTGGCATGTATTTCCATCATCCACCTCTCTCTTTCACCATTAAGTCCTTGGGCTTCTCAAAGGCTAGACTCAAGCAACCCTTTGATAAGACCAGAAAGAAATTTATACCTTGACTTTCTATACAAAAATATACACAAATATTGTATTGTCCTATATATTTAGTTCAGAATGGTATTATGCAGCAGTTTTGGACTTTGAGAATTACACTTCCCTGTTGGTCATTCTGCACACAGCTCATATCTATTTAATTGTAGCCTACATCAAATATGTTAATCAAGAGGTACTATGTATACTTCTATAAATATGCTTGCATGGGTGGAACTCAGTCCATCTCACTTGAGGCGACAATGCTGGAGGTGAGCTAAGTCTGTAAACTCTTTTTCCAGATAATGGAGGTCTGGTAAAGGCTCTCAATGGAATTTAGGGGACAACTCATCCTACAGCAAAACTCCACATTTAGTCAGAAGAATCGCACTTTAGCCTCCTCAGGTTACAAAGGTTAGATCTCTACTGGTACCACAGTGGAATCCTATGTATCCTCTTCAAAGTAAGTATCTAGAGTAAACAGTGGTGGATGCTGACTGTGATATCAAAATGACACTTGCAGGGCCACTTGCTGAATGACATTGTCCTAAGCCTGGCTTATGTGTACATCTGACCTTGATGAAACGCCACTGAGTGCTCCAAGCAAATAGCATTCATTTTTACTGTCATGTTTTATCAGTTTTGAGAAGTGAAAATTATTATGTTATTACCTACACTGAAGTTCATTGCATGAAACATGTTCATTGCTGAAAATTATTGTTCCACTTCTTATATCCATTCTTCACCAATATAAATATGTAATATATGCCAGTATAAGTCAAAGTAGAAAAATGAAGCTCCATACTTAAAATTAATTTTTTAGCCTATTATCAAAAACAACTAAAACCACCTCATATGGAAAGACATCTTACGGATGTGGCATGTATGTCCTGCATTGTACCAGTTGTGAGACATTTTAAGGAATTATTTCTCAGATTCACCTAAAATATTCATCCCACTTAAATTACTTAAGTCTCTTCACATTCTTATGGAGAAGACTAAGACTCCTTCTCAATTAAATATGACACAGAAACTTTGAAGTAATAGTATGTTACAAAAAAGTTAATTTTATTTTTTGTTTCTTTAGAGGTCTTTCCAGAGGGGGATTTTGCTAATACCAAAGAATTTTCAGTGAGACTTTTAATAAATTTAATGAAATCCTGTTGAAAACTGAAATTTACAAAATTTTTACGACACTTTGCTAACAAAGCATGATGAAGACTGCAGCAGTGAAAAATATTGATGATATAAGGTCCACTTTCTATACAGAAGGCTCTTTGGAGCTGTGTTTAGATATTTGGACACAAAAAAATGCAGACTTGTATATACATCTCTGTGCATCATCAGAATCATAAGCAAACCCTAAACCCAAGCCAAAAGTGAATTTTCAAATTCCCAATTCCTTAAGAGTTCCACATTTTCTACATATACCAGTCACAGTACAGTATTTTTTAAAATACACCTTTCATCAATTTATTGCTGCATCTTATTAGGGTAATTTAAAATAAACCAAATCAATAGTACTTTGTACCACTTCCTCTGACTAGGGTACCTATAGCTAGACACTTTTATTGAAAGTGAAAGCTTAAAATAGTTCAAACTATGAAAAGTGTTCAACAAAATTCACCTTGTATGAAAAAACAACACAAGAAGCTTAACTATAAACAAAGTTCTTAGAAAAATGCAGGGTTGTATTTCCCTTCTGGATGCAAAATTTTATCAATTTAACCCGGAAAACAAAATCATCCCTTTTTCCACCTTATAGAAATCTGTAATCTGCAATGGCATTTATTTAGAAACGAAAGCACAAAGCACTTCACGTGCAAAAGGAAACTAGCTCTACCTTGTCCTACTTTAAAGTCAAAGTTCTGATGAATAATGTTGCATAACAGTAAATCCTTATATCTTTTCTCTTTTTTTTTTTCTTTTTTACACAAGCTACTATTTTTACCTATAGTGGATGGTTATTGTACGTCATTTCATTATACTGTTCTAATAGTTCCATAAAACTAGTACATAATGGCAGGGTTTTCTACTATCAAGTATGTACACCTAGTACAGTAAAGTATTTCCTGCTAAATCTATCCTGTTATTAACAGAAATGTTGACATAATTGCCTTGCTTTCCAAGTTTTTTTACTTTTTATATGTAATGCTACCATGTGACATATGTAATACTTAAATAAAATGTTTAAAGTTTGCCAGTCCTAGAAACTTATATTTAAAATACTAATATACAAAACCAAGGCACCTTACCAGAAGATCATAAAATTATTATTCCTAAGTACTCAAATATAAAATAACTGCCACATAGAAAATAAAAATAAGAATGAAAAAGGAGCAGTAAAGAAAAAGAAAAAAATAGGAAAGACAAAGAGCCAATGAATCCCTTGGCACAGGCCCTGAGGTTTCTGTGCATTGTCAGCTACAAACCATGACCCCAGTGAAGGAGGTTGTGCAAGCTTCATGCAGTGACAAGGAATGCACAGGGCCAGAACAAATGTCATTGTAGGGAGAACAGATTCACAGTGCTCTCTAGCAAAAACCTGACTTCTTTTCCATCAATTCTGCCTCTGCATCTTCCTACCTAAACTAAGCTAGAACAGAAACCCTTATTTGGTAAACATAGAGTTGACAAGGACTGATTTTAATGTCTCCTGTCTCTCCAGCCTTAGCACAGTTGGCAGTGCTGAATCCAGCTCCTGAGGTCAAGCAGCCCAGGTTGACTCTTGCCTACAGATGCAGGAGGAGCTTGGTGAAACTATGATCTACAGAATGCTAAACTGGGACAACACACATTTTACTCTTGAAACAGTAGGAGTTGTCACAACCACTCCATGACCCAGTGCAACACTATAGGCTTGGAGAAGAGTGGCTGGAAAGCTGCCCATTGGAAAAGCACCTGGGGGTACTGGCCAACAGCCGGGTGAACATGAGCCAGCAGCATGCCCAGGTAGACAAGAAGGCCAGTGGCATCCTGGCTTGGATCAGAACTAGTGTGTCCAGCAAGATTAGAGCATTGATTTCCCCCTGTTCTCAGCACTGGTGGGGCTGCATCTGAATCCTGTGCTCAGCTTTGGGTCACTGCAAGAAAGACATTGAGGTCTGGAGTGTGTCCAGAGAAGAGCAACAAAGATGGGTTAGGAGCACAAGTCTTATAAGAAGCAGCTGAGGGAGTTGGGATTGCTTAGCCTGAAAAAAAGGAGGCTCTGGGGAGACCATAAAGATCTCTACAACTACCTGAAAAGAGGTTGTAGTGACATAGGGATCGGTCTCTTTTCTGCAGGTAACAAGTGTAAGGACAAGAGGCAATAGCCTCAAGTTGCTCCAGGGGAGGTTTAGATCGGATAGTAGGAAAAATTCCTTCACTGAAAGGTTTGTCAGGCTGCCCTGGTGGTATTTAAAAGATATGTTACTTGGGAACATGGTTCAGTGTTAGGTTAACAGTTGGACTCGATGATCTTAAAGGTCTTCTCCAACCTAAACAATTCTATTGTTCTATTCTGTGATCATGTAAGAGGGGAATACATTGATGCCAGCCTTGGAAACGACTGTGTGTTTACTTTCAAAAGCACATGCTCTCTGGATGTTTATCCAATTGCAGTTTATCTACATAAGATGTACAGCAGCTAAGCTCCACTACTGTTTAACGTGGCTTAAATCAATCTTCCCAGAAAGCATGGTTTTAAATTTCAGAACAGAATGTTACTTTCAGACTTACCTTTTTCTGTTTTGTCTTGTTCGGTTTCTTTTTCACTTTTCCCTGGAATATTAAAAATATAATTTCATTGGAATAAATTTATGTTTATGATAAAAAAAGAGATACAAGAAAATTAAAACTTATACTCAAAACATAATTGAGCCAACAGGACTTCTTTGTTTCATTTTTATTTTTTAAAGAAACCACAGATAACTTTCTGAACTATATAGTTACCTTTAAGGACTTTCCCCGCAGATTCTTCAAATATTACATTATCGCTTTGATCAGAAAATATTTCCTAGAACTTCCTCTCTAGTTACTTAGTAGATTTTGGTGATACACATTCACAATATCGCAAGAAAGAAAATCTGTTAAACTAATTAAAAACTACTGGGAACACTAGCTTAATACATACATTTGATTAAAATATGAAAAACAAAATCAATTGGGAACCAAACTCTCATTTTCAATTGGGCACTTGAAAGCTTTTGTTTTCTTAAACTTTTAAAATAATTTAACAGTTGTTCTGTAAACATTTCACTGCACAGGTAAATGTTAAGACAGTTAAGACAGTCTGTAGCAAAGACAGACTACATCCTGTACCCAAAGTACATATGTGTGTATCATGAAGGTAACAGATACATAAACATCTTTTTCCCTCCTCTAAACACTATTCGATCCTGCCTTACTCTATAACATATAGAGCATCTTGCTTCACAATTACAACACTGTTTTTCTATTTCCAATTTTGTCCCAGTAAGCTTCCAATATTTCGTCCTAATAAACTTAAAGAACACTAAACAGGGAGGTCAGTTGGCTTTTTAGTTAGTTATTTTCCTCTCTAATATACACTGTTTAATTTTGAGGTATATATATATACATATATATAAAAAAAATATTTTTCTTAAATTTCCAAGTCATTTAGAGACACTTTGTCAGAATATTCAGTCTTCACTGTTTTTCAGACTGATTGCTCAGAAGCATTACAGTGTGTATAAAATACACCATTTAAAATGCTGGAAAACATTTCATTTTTTCATGGAGAAACTGGATTATGCACATACATGAAATCAAATTATTTAACATTCTAATTTCACCCTTTACTACAGATTGACAATTTCTGCTACTGAGAGTATGGACACTACAACCACTATAACTCTGATTTACATTCAGCACAAGACAGAATGAGCATGAACTTGATTATGATATGGTAAATTCAATAAATACAGTCACGCTGAAAGTCATTCACCCCTTCAATTACATCATGAAATCTAGATTGTCAATTAAATAGAAAGAAATTACAAAAGATGTATAGAGTCAATTACATACTAAGGGATAATTACTACTATAAGAGTATATTAATGGAAGTGTTAAGCAGTACTTCCTAAAACACTGACTTTTCTATTTTTTGTGCATAACACACAATAAAGAAAATGGTTGTGTATATCTGTACATCATCAGAAACACTGCATTTTAAAAAGAGCAGTAATGCAGGTCCAGATGAGATGACAGTTTATATTTATAGCTTTTACACAGAACAGTTTATATACTCATATTTCTATTGTTTTATTCAGCTCACATTACCATGATACAGCATGCTACTTAGCCATCCATTTTCCCTGTATCTTGTCCCTTATCAGCAACACTGATATTCTCACCTCACCTCTTCTCTCCACTTCATTCTCGGTCACTCAGTAACCTGCTTTCACACATCCTGGACATTCATGTTATTTCTGCAACTTCTTTGTCATCGCAGGAAGAATAAAGTATAACCCCATCACTCTAAAGCCTGCTTCTACCTCCTATTTCTTGTCCAGTTTCACATTTCTTTACTACTGAGACTCATGCAACATACAACCTACAGTTCTCTATACCTATTTATGCACTAGAATCAGTTCTCCAAACTCTCTCTCAGACTTTTTTCAGTCTGGATTCTGCTAAATTAGCTGCCATTGATTTTACCAAAGCTTCTCCAATGATCTTTTAACACTCCAGCTTCTCCTTCTAGGTAGCTGCTTCTGAAATTCATCACAACTTGATCATGTTAGCTCTGAAGATCTTGTTTCTTTCAGCTCTCACCACACTTAACTAAGAATTCACTTCAGCATCATATTCAGCACATATTACTTTTTTCCCTCCACACTGATCCCTAGGATACTTCGATGGTGCAAAAGGTTTTAATTATGCTATTCTGACAAAGGCTTAAAAATGTGCTGTCTCAAAGACAGGGATATGATAATAAATCTTAAGACTATTTTGTTATCAACTAAAATCAATTGTAGCTCAAACAAACAAACAAAATCTTAGCTCTTCAAACCCCTTTCAACTTTTACTCAATTTCTCCATTTCCAGCAAAACAAACCTAGATCAAAATCACAGACAAAACAGCTTTAGCTAAGCTGTACAGGCTAGGACTGCTATCACTATCCCAAGAAGGTTTCTACGATGAAGAATAAATTTATTTTTCATATTACAATACATCTAAATGTTTGTGGCTGCATGTGACAATGATCCAAGTCACAATTAAAAATGTATTTCGGACATTGCAGATTTTACGTGAATCTCAATCAACACTATAAGTGTACAATACAATTTATTTACATATGATATTCAGTAAAAACATTAAGTTTTTCAATATCTTTCCTATATCAAATCTTAGCCATTTTCGTTATGTCTTAGACAAAAGTGCCATGATATGATATCTTTTCAATTACAGAGAATGTTAAAAAGTCACTTAAATTGTAGTAAATTGTCAGTATTAAAATACAACTTTAGCATCCTACTCTTTGCTAATTGGTATTTCTTCCTTTGATTTCCAAAAAAAGCAACTGAATCCAAGATTTCATAGATTCACTGAAATATAATAAGAGGCAATGTAGTAATGTGAAAATATAAGAAAAATGTAATCTCTTGACATTTTCTTAGACTAACATTCAGAAACATTGGATTATTAAAGCTATGGAGGTCTTTGAAAACTGAAAACGTTGAAGGAATACTTTGCTTTCAAACAGAGAACTGTGCAGACCTTACCAGATTTCTAATCTAACTATGGACAATAATCATAAAATTCTGTATGAAAGGTAGATATCACACTTTCCCCGGACGCTTGTGTTTGTTAAAGAAGGCTATCTCATCCATTTTAAGTTACAAACAGAAATTATGTATCATGGGAAAAATTCAGGCCAAACTGGTCACGGAACATTAATGCTCCTAAAGGGCAAACAGGATGCAATTATAGAAGACACAGACCTTAGAGTACTGTCTGTTTCCTTCACATAACAGCAGTCAGAAATAAAATTAATTTTACTTGCTATATTTCCTTCTCCTCCTTGTAAATAATGTTTTCAAATATATTTTTAAATATTTAAATTTATTTAATTAGTGGATGAGTCAACTATCCCTATAATTACTATCTACCACATTTAGGAATAAATAATGACACTAGAAAGACAAAGATATTCTTCTGTGTTTTATTGCAGTCAAACAATAAAATGGATTAAATATACATTTTTCAATAGTCCACTTGACCTTGCTCAGCTTGGCATATTTTTGTAAACATGAAGCACGTAAAATCACATACCCAGTTACAAAATACTTAAAATTTGATCACAGCATAATATACTCTCACAGTCCCATAATTCTACAAATAGACTGTCACTGGTATATAAAAAGTCCTCCATTCACCATTCTAAAATTATTACCAAGATTCCTCACAAAATATGGCTTTGTAAAAATTATTGCTCTGCAATTCACGATCACAGGTAATTTTACTACAACATCCCATCCCAAAACACATCACAGTCTAAGAGTATTATTGCTTTCCTGAAAAGTCTAAAGAAATCACTTTGGGACATCTGTATTTGTTGATCAGATGCAACACTCACGAGGAGTCTCACCGAAATCCCAATACCAAAAAAAAGGCAAGCATATATGATGCCCCTTTCACTATAAAGTTAAGCATCTAGAAACCTGACTTCAAAACAGTGTTACAGAACTTGAAAATCTCCCTGTAAACCCAAAGGCAACCACTATTAGGGTTACCAAATTGACTTTTCTTTTTATAGATTTATCTTATTTTATTTCTCCTAAGCTCCTGTATCAGGCCTGGCAACTTCCTAAAATCACAGCAATTATTCCTGAGCCAAAAAGGAACACATGCAAAATACCAAAGAATAAAATATGTCTCCATAATTGTGGAACAGCAGCACAGAACAGGCAAAAACCACACCTGTTATATTAAAATCCTAAATCACTCACAGTCTAAATTTCAGATGTACCATTTATAAGAGTATTTATAACTGTAGGTCTTAAATTTTGACATCAAACTTTTCCAAAGGTTGAATTTCCGAAGTTTTTTTCCTTTTTTTAAATAAAATTTGCAAATCAAGTATCTGTACTCAAGTTTTTAAATAATTTACTCAATGTAAAGCTAACTATATCTAGCTTTGAGATCATTATATTGGGAGGTAAACTAGAAAAAATTTACTAAATTCAACCTGATTCCAGCAACTCAGTTTTGTTGTCTATTAACGTCCTGACAGACTATCATGTAGTCTCCAGACGTTTTTGCTTTATAAATCAAATGGGCATAAATAAAAAGTTCTAATTGATGCATCAATGGTTTTTGAAAAGTGTAATTTAGTAACCTGCCCTTTTATTGGTATAAATTAAACATTTTGCATCTTGTTAGGCTATTTTAAAAATAACCTGAAATTCATGTAGTGTAACTGTTGACATAACATCAGTGCAAAGAGAGATAAGTCAAACTTCACAGCATAGTGTGTGCCTGATTAGTGTTTTTAATAAAATGCAATTAGGCTGTATGCTATATCAGCAGTTATAAAACATTTAAAAATTCATAATATGTTTCATTTAACCAAACTGCTCTGTACATACTGTACGAATCCACAACAAAAGATATATATTAAAATCTGAAAAAATGTACTTGCTGCTACGTTATAAATAGAATATTAACAATTGCTTAAACAGTACATGAAATGCAGCTCAAAGTTGCAACTCTGTCACAAACACAGAAGAAAAAAATAATGAATTCACTAAACTTGACCAAGGGAAAAAAAAATAATATCAGACAGGAATGTAAACTAAACACCAAATGTTAAAAATGCTTACTAAAATGACAGTTGGCTAAAACTCAGTTACAACATCTTAGTGTTCATTCCCCAAACCCTGAACTGCTTGGTAATTACATCATAAGATCTATTACAACCATCTGCTCCCCTTTTGTAGCGTATGGTTAGGGCTGGTCCTCCTGATGTAGGGACTTTTCTTTTGAAGCTTTAAGTATCTGAAAAAATAAGGGGAAATCTATATTAAAGGACCAACCAAAACACAACTCACTCTAAAACAACAACAAAAAAAATCTTAAATGCTAAAAAATGCAACTTTGTATCAGACTAGTCAGTTTGAGAAAGCTATAATTTCTAGGAGTTACCTTAAGGAATATATACAAAGTTGCCATATAAGGTGGGAAATATTTATCTACACAGTAAATTTTTTTATTATCCTATGGCACTTCATTTACCTTGTAAAGGAAATCTAAGCCATGTCTAGATCTAACACATTAAAACAATTTTTTGTTTTGGTGGTTGGTTTTTGTTTTGTTTTGTTTTGTTTTTTTTGGTTTGGTTTTGGGTTTTATTTGCTTAAGTCAAAGACAATTGGAAAAGAGGAGCCAGGGAATAAGGAAGGGTCAAAGTTCTAAAGTGGAAACTTCTCTACACATAAGGGATTTCAGCAGTTGGTAAAATAAATGTAGGGTTATAAAAATGTCAAGGATACAAGGTGAAGGGCAGGAGTGGGACAACTCATAGATATTTTACATCTGAACTTATATAAGATGGATCAAAATCCAAATACAGAGAGCAATGGTATCCCAAAACCTGTGATATGTCTCCCCTAAAATATGCATCCAACAAGAACCACTCTATCACAATCACTGCAATTTATGTGCCAGTGTAAAAGAGGATTAGTAAAAAAAATCTGAAGCTGGTCTATCATATCATTCAAGTGCATTAGTTACAAAAATGTGGATAACTGAAGCTAAAGTAGCCTACATCTGGAAAAGAACACCAGTAATAATTTTAGAAATAAACTCAGAGTACTGGAAAACAGTACCTACATATACCCAAACATGTATTTTAGTAGTATTACTTCTTTTTTCTGATATACCCAGAAGTCAGAAAAAAAACTTTTGACTTGCACTACAGTATATTCAAATCCCACACCCAATCTCTTCACTGGTGATGTGAGAATGTTCCTCACAGCTAAATTCAGCCTCTGAACTATCTCCTGTTTTCTTTCTACAAAAACTAAATTCCTATGTTTTACCTTAGGATTAAACAGCTGCTCCCAACCTGACAGAAACTGTTGAAATGCAGTTGCATCAATTTATAAAACTGAAGAATAAGGACTCTATAATGATATTCTGAATTTCTTTTACACCGTCTGAAGTTATGTATATTACATAAGTAGATGTAAATATACGTAAAGAGTGCATATGTGTATAAAGGGATTCTTCATTCAGAAGAGAGTTCTCAGCTGTCTCTAGCACAGTGAACTTCAATATTATTATTGTGAGAGAACAGGAAATATTAGACTTTGAATACCTAAACACAAAGACTTCCGACAATAAAATCTCTGTACTGAATCCTCCATCACAAATAACATATTAAAAATTCCCTGGTAAACATGAATGTCATACTCTAAGAGGAATATTTGAGAGTAATGTTGCTTTCAAACTGAAAGATTCATATACAAAAAAGGCAGATAAACAGACTTAATAGTAGAAATAAATAATAATTTAATAATAATTTAATACTTATTTTTATTCATGGTCAACAGTCATTTACGTCCTGTTTCTTTTCTCAGTTTTCTGAGATGCTACTTTAATTCTACTTTTTGTGCAGAAACAATAAGAGGTAAGGGTAACCCTGTGATTTAAGAAGTGTTGCATTAGTTTTGGAAACAAATACAGGTAAAAAAAAATAGATATAAAAGATCTTTTGAAAGCATCAGGAATGCACAGTATTTCAAAGCAGAACATGCTATTATTCTAACAGTGTTTGAAAACAGTAAAGACTCTTTTAGTATCACAGTACAACAAAAGGAGAGTGGACAACTATGTTCATTTCCACCATCTTATTTGAAAATACATCTGCAACTAAGGAATGATCATCCCTCTGTATTCAGCACTGGTGAGGCCACACCTCAAATCCTGTGTTAAGTTTTGGGTCCCTCACTACAAGAAGGACATTGAGGTACTGAAGCATGTCCAAAGAAGGGCAACAAAGCTCTGTCTTGGAGCATAAATCCTATGAGGAGTGGCTCAGGGAGATGGGGTTGTTTAGCCTGGACAAAAGGAGGGTCAGGGAAGACCTTATCTCTCTCTACAACTAACTGAAAGAAGGCCGTAGCCAGGTGGGGCTTGGTCTCTTCTGCCAAGTAACAAGTGATAGTTAAGAGGAAACAGCATTGAGTTGTGCCAGGGGAAGATTAGATCAGGTATGAGGAAAAATATCTTCCCCAAAAGGTTGTTTAAGCACCGGAAGAGGTTGTTCAGGGAAGTGGTGCAGTCACCGCCCACGGCAGTGTTTAAAAGACATGTAGATGTGGCACTCAGAGACATTGCTTAGTGGTGCACTTGGTAGTGTTAGGCTTACAGCTGGACTTGACCTTAAGGATCTTTTTCAACCTAACTGATTCTGTGACTCTATTGGTATATTTTGGAACTCATCACTACTGTACAAAACACCTAAGATTATTTTTATTAATTTATTGCTGCAAGACTGAGCCATAAATTACAGCATAGAAGTGACAGAAATGTGGTCCAAAACTTAAAGATTTCAAGTTGGCAGTTGCATTCCGACTTTAATTTTAAAATAGTATATGTAAGTCAACAGATCATCTCAATATCTTCATATCAACACAACTGGCACTGTGCAGTGGAAACTTTCTAACAGTCCAGTAAGGGCTTTTTTGTTATTTTAACTTTAAGTAGCAACATTTTCTGAGAAAAAACATGTTTTCCTCTTCTACCGTTACAACTTAATGCACAACAAGCCAAACCAAGACTACCTTTGCTGAACTTCCTGCATGCTGTCAAAGCAGCTACTGTTTGTTCTTATACTGATTATAAGCTTTGGTTAAGAATAGTCCATATTCATTATGAAAGAAAACATTTTAGATAAGGCGTCTATTAATTGATATCTATGGCTTCAAACATTTCAACACACCATATGGCTGTTATAAACAGCCTAGAAAGACCTCACAGTTACATATTGATATGAGCATTTCAAATCACCTCAGTTAAGGTTCAGCAAATAAATTAAAATATTAACTAAACCATGCCTTCAATCTGTACTTGGCAACCACAAAGGTCTCCTATGTTTTTTCACTTCTCTGGCTACTTTTGGCACAACCAAGAGACAAACAGAAGTTTCCTTTACTGCATGGAAAAAAACCACCACCCCAGAACCCTCTGGGCACCACACCTCATAAGAGCTTCTGCACAGTGCAAAGATTAACTAACCCAGGCTAATCAGAACAAAACAGAAATATAGCCCTCAGTGCTCTTGGATTGCAGCTTCGCTGATCTACTGCCCAGAGATACAACTCTCACTCAACACTACTTTGTTACAACTAACAAATTAGCACCTTGTAAAAATTAACTCCAAAAAGCAGTGAAATGTAACAATATACAGTCTCCAAATTCCGAAGCCATCTAGCTACTCTAAAAATGGTTTTGGTCAACTCTGTGCTTACTATTGTCAGGAAATAGATGGAAGAACTGGAAGTGCTCTTGTTCTTGATATCAGTTATATCAAGAAAAATGCAATGGCACAACAAAAAAAGTCCTGTTTCCAGAGCATTGCCTAAAGAATGTACCACAGCCAAACTCCAATAGATCTGACTGACACTAAGAGAATTAACAGTATCACTGTCCATGATCGGTTACTCTGCAGAGGAAGTATGCACATATTTTGAGACCTGAAATTGTATTTCCCTTTACAGCAAAACTGTCCAGTTCTGTCTGAAATCATTACAAATTAAGTTGTAAATTAAAACTACTAATAGTTTATTTGGAATACTTTCATTTAACCGAGTAATTACTGCTACCACTGATCAAGTACACCAAAAAAATTATCGCTTCAAAACCAAGAAGCAACTTCAACATTAATGATATCCCTTCATGCTCTCCACAAAGTAATTTGTTTAGAAATTTCCATGTAGTTAGAGCTTCATTTTTTCTTTTCTAAAAAATCCCAAGCATTTAAAATTGACTTACCCACTCGAACATCATTTGAATAATCCTCAGCTTGAACAGGTATTTCTGTAAATCAAAAATGTAAAAATAACTCAAGTTGGACTTCTCCCTTAGTATTTTTAAAAGCCACTTTTTTCTCTTATGTTCAAAATAGTGACCTATCAAGACCGCTCTGTAATACTACTTTTGCAGAAGTGGGATGCAAATTTCTTCCTCAGATGAATTTTTCCAAGGGGAAGATTAATACTTAAGGAGGTCAATGAGTAAATTGCAGAATTGCACAGTTTCAAAAATGATACTTCAAAATTCTGAAACTATACTACCCAAAGCACAAATCTCCCAGTTTCACATGCTACTGCAGTACAGGCTTAGAAAAATTCATATACTTATTATGTTCCCAGCTGCAATTGTGAAATACTTGACCTCAAAATTCAATTATTTTTAATTCCATATGTATCTTTAAATTAGACATGTCACACATCACCAAGTGTTATTACTGCTAACAGACTGAAGGTTGCACACAGTCCCTATCAATGCAATCAGGTTGACCAGAAAAAACTTCACAATAGCCAGGATGCTAGTTGTAGACAATAAGAAGAATCAAAGAGAGGGAAATACATTCTCTGACTTGGGAAGCCCATAAATAAAGCTCAAAGTTGGGGAAATTTGATTTCTCACATATACTCTCTTTCCCAAGTATGCACTACTGACTGGTCAGTGGAAAACAGCAAAGAAATCTTCGGTTTTATCATATGGCCTAATATGGTCATTTTTATCAATGTAGGTTTTTCTGAGCTGGTAGCACTCTCAACTTCTAAAACTGAAGAGAGCCTAGAAAGCCATTAAAATATTGTCATTAAAAAACCCAAGGTGACAGATTCCAACAACACAGATATGTTTGTCCTCAAAAGAAAACAGCTGCAGGAAAAGTTATGAATGTATTTTTATTGCAGCATAAAATTCTATTTCACAATATTTATAATTCTCAATTTTCTTTTAAGTGGCAAAGCCATGTAAAACATAACATACAAACCTGATTCCTCTGGTTCAATGGCCACATCGTCTTCTGATTGCTTACTTTCTACTGTTACAAAGAAAATAAGTGTTAAAATTCATAAATAGTACATTTACGATATTGTTCTTATCCCCCAGTACCCACACAATCAATCAGTATCAAATGAGAAGGAAGAGAAACTGCTGTTTCCCCATTTAATTAAATTAGAATGCATTTTTCAAACAGAAAATCTAAATAAATATAGCATCAAATGCTACACAGTGTGCTCAAACTAAACTGCTTAGATCACTTAGATCACTTCGCTCTAGCTGACATGTTTGAAAAAAACTTGCTTAATGACATCTTTAACTTCTAAGAACAAATCTTTAAATCACACAGTAGCCATTTAAAATTTCCCAATACCAATACAGCAAACAAAAATTTACAACTTAATCTTTTTGAGTGGCAATGTCGAAAATTAACACAGAGCTCCAATTTGAGGAATGGAGTAAGTACTTCATATGAACATCATGAAGTTCAACAAGGCCAAGTGCAAGTTCCTGCACTGTGGCCAGGTGCTGGAGGATCTCTCCTAAGAAGACAGGCTGAGAGAGCTGGGTTGCTCAATCTGGAGAAGAGAAGGCTGCAGAGAGACCTTATCACAGCCTTTCAACAAGGGATCTTGTGAGAAAGACAGAGAGACACTTTTTACCAATGCCTGCAGCAACAGGACAAGAAGCAATGGTTTTAAAGTGAAAGAGGGTAAATTCAGATTAGACATACGAATGAAATTTTTTATTCTGAGTGTGGTGAGACACTGGAACAGGTTGTCCAGAGGACTAGAGATGCTCCATCATTGGAAGTGTTCCAAGTCAGACTGGACAGACCTTTGAGCAATCTGACTTAGTGAAAGACGTCACTGGCCATGACAGAGTTTGAACCACATGATGTTTAAATGTGTCTTCCAACCCAAACTGTTTCATGATTCTACATACACGTTTATCTGCTTTGTTTTTCATTTGCTTGTTTTTTAATTACATTAATATAATTTTTTTCTTTCACAAACTATAAAAACTCATACCTGAGACATCTTTAGCAACATCAAAATCTTCAGTAATTTTATCTGTAATAAAAAGGGAAAAGTGTATAATGAACGTGCTTTTTTTTTAACGTCAGATTTTCAAATGCATATATTATATCAAAAGACTTTAACATCACAATTACAAAATATATACCTGGCTCTGTGGCTTCGTTCACCTCCTCTGGAAGGTCGTGAATAGTTAAAAAAACCCCATTTAATTCAGAGCAATAATGAAGTCAAGCCCTCAATTTATGGAATTTACACACAGCACAAAATAACACAACTAGCACACAGACATGTTTACCTGTGAACAGTAAACTGCTATTGACAAACAGGAACTTTGATGAATTTAAGGGGGAAAAAAAACCACTAGAGAATTCCTTTACTTCATTCTAAACTAAAGAACTGTAGTTTTTTTCAATCAGCTGTCTGAGATGACTCCAAAGAGCTGCTATTTCAAGACAACAAAGTATACAGGACACAGAGAGGGTACTGTAGACAATTTTTAATTGCTTCTGTTAATTAGATAAATGCACCCACAAAAGTCTGCATCAAAGCAGAGTTAGTATTGGCAGCCTGTACATTTTGAATGATCTTATGCACTGGTTGCAAGGTTCTGAACAAAGATCACAGCAGGCAGCAGGTTGACTGTCTATGCTGAATCACTGTATTCCAACTGCCCACTAAAAGCCTCAGATACCCCACTTTGTGTCACTTGAGACCTTAAAGATGAATCCTCAAGGACAGCATCTTAAAAGGTGTCTCAGCTCATAGTCAAAAACGTAACAAACCTTTGCCGTAACCCAACTGTCATAACTGAAGGTCACACAGATTATCATAGTATCATAGTATAGATTGGGTTGGAAAAGACCTCCAAGATCATCAAGTCCAACCCCTGATCCAACTCCAATTACTATATCATGGCACTAAGGGCCACGTCCAATCTCTTTTTAAAAACCTCCAGGGATGGTGAATCCACCACCTCTCTGGGTAGGCCGTTCCAATGCCTGATAACCCTCTCTGTAAAGAATTTCTTCCTAACATCTAACCTAAACCTCCCCTGGCAGAGCTTGAGCCCATGTCCCCTTGTCCTATTGTTGGTTGCCTGGGAGAAGAGACCAACCCCCACCTGGCTATAACCTCCCTTCAGGTAGTTGAAGAGAGTGATGAGGTCGCCTCTAAGCCTTCTCTTCTCCAGACTGAACAACCCCAGCTCTCTCAGCCTCTCCTCATAGGACTTGTGCTCCAGTCCCTTCACCAGCCTCGTTGCTCTTCTTTGGACCCGCTCCAGCACCTCAATATCCTTCCTGAACTGAGGGGCCCAGAGCTGAACACAATACTCCAGGTGTGGCCTCACCAATGCAGAGTACAGGGGAAGGATCACTTCCCTGCTCCTGCTGGCCACACTGTTCTTGATGCAGGCCAGGATGCCATTGGCCTTCTTGGCCACCTGAGCACACTGCTGGCTCATGTTCAGCCTCCTGTCGATCAGCACCCCCAGGTCCCTTTCCGCCTGGCTGCTCTCTAGCCACTCTGTGCCCAGCCTATAGCGCTGCAGGGGGTTGTTGTGGCCAAAGTGCAGGACCCGGCACTTGGCCTTGTTGAACTTCATTCCATTGGAGTCAGCCCATCTCTCCAGTCTATCCAGATCCCTCTGCAGAGCCCTCCTGCCTTCCGGCAGGTCGACACTCCCTCCCAATTTGGTGTCATCAGCATATTGAAATATTATATATTTCAATATATATAAACAGCAAGATTAAGTTGATAATTGTTATGCTAACTTGCTTAAAATATTTCTCTGATTTTGAAAAGAATATGTATTCTAATAACACTTATTTAGAGGTATTTCTACTCGACATATGAAACAAAGATTTTCTAATATGTTTCATAAATAGGAATATATACAGATGGTGGGATGTGTGTGGGAGTTACATACACCCCACTCACACATATACATATACATACATACACATGCATTTATATATATATGTATATACCTGTATCTTGAGTCTCAGTCTGCTTTTCATGTTTGGGTTCTGAAAGGAAAGAAAAAATAAAGTTGTTTGGTGGTTTATATGCAAAAAGTATCCTAAAAATTTGGTTATTAAGCATCCAGGTAACTTCTTTAATGATAAAGTCCTTAAAAAACTTTCCCTACTTTGGGGTCTGAATAGATACATGAACCCTCTTTGGAGCTTGTAGTAGAAATTTTACACACACAAAAAAAATATACCTAATGTGAACATACTGCTGAAATTTCAAGCCTTTCTATCTACACAGGTGAAATGCTGAAAACAATGACAACAATAAATCCATAATTCTGTACGGTTGCTATAATTTTTCTACATTCTTAATATTTGAGTAAAGAGCCAGCCTAATCTTTGTAATTTTAAGAAACAGGTTAAGAATATTCAATATTTAATTTTATATAATGTCTGAAAATAGAGGAAAATGCTATCCATTGTCTGAATTTTCAATATACACTCACTATAAATTTGAGAACTAAATAAGTTTAAAGTTCATTCAGTGTTTTGAATGATTTCATTATCTTAACAGGTACTAACTCTCATCTGAAAAAGGTCAATTGGCCAATTACGTAAGATTTAAAAAAACAACCAACCAAACAAAAACCCTTCACATCTTTATAATAGTGATACATCTTATAAGGTACTAATGGTCATATGGTTCTCCCTACATTCCTTAGAAAAAAGTTCTTAATGAATATCCTTAAAAAACCATCCAGAACTCTTTAATTCTAATGAAAATCTCAAACTTGCTTTCCCTCTCCAGTTTCATTGCTACAAGCTGTAGTAAACTCTTCATAAAACTACTGAAAGTTGTGTACAATAATTGAGTTCTTCTATTCCAAATTATACGATTAATCTATTTACACACTCCACTGTAGGCTATCATACACTCATTTCAACAACAGAATTTTTAGCATTAGCAATAGCCTCAGTGATGTGATTACAGGAACCATGATCCTATTAGAGCTGGTCCCTGACTGAATTAAGAACCAAGTCACACAAAGTGAGAGCCACAAAAGAAACTGAACTGCTCTAGCCAACAATCCTCTTGGCACTGCCCTCAGCTTTCTGACAATTCCAGAAAGCAGCAGAACTGAAGAAAACATTTCATCAGAGGGTCTTGCCAGAGGAGGGGAAGCATCTGATAGAGATGGGGAAGACACACTGACTCCAGAATAGAGAAGCTTACACTTCTGTTGACTTCACAGACAATTGCATCTCAAGCTTTAAATTGAATCTTCTTGAGGAAGTGAACTGCAGTTTTGGAGCCCATGCCAAAACCACAAGCTTTACATTTGAGAGAAAGAATTTCAGATCTCCACAATGGTCTCCATCTCTTCTTTGACTTTAAAAAACAGGTGCTAAAACTGCTTTTCTCCAGAAACAGAGCAAATCTGTTTCATTTTCTATCCAACCAAAAGCATGGAAAAAGATGGGCCCATAGACAAAAGGGATGGAAAAAAACTGCTAAAATGGTGTCTAGTACATGAACGTGAACATGCCCTGAAACTTGACAGACTGAACTCCTAAGGAAAAATGGTGTGTCACAGAAAGGCAGATCAGCTGACCAGTCTTTTTCTTCCACACTGCTCCAGGTTGGAGCTCTGAAATTCCTCCAAGAAGTACAAACGCATGGTGCTTTCTTACAACCAGAGACGGCTTCAGGGGAGAACTTAAAAGCAAGGTAAAATTATGCCATGAAAAAGCAGACTTTTATCAAGAGAAAAGCTGTTTGCCACAGATTATGTTGAACTGTGGGAACAATTTATTGCATAAAGAAGCCTGGCAAGAAAAGAACAATAAATTTTTTGACAGTCACCTGCTACCTTAGAATTTCCTTTGGAGAAAAATTCCTATTCTTGTTATCATCCTGATCAGAGGATCTGGAAGACTATAAAAAGAGTAGAGTAAAAAAAAATCTGATTTATCTGATGCTAATTAGAACTCTCATTGTAGCACACAGAGGCAACTGCACATGAAAACACTGCTTGCTGAAGCACATGAATAACTCACAAAACAGAGTGATTCACTGTTATGGTGCCAGGGTGCCAGAAGAGACTGCAGAATATGAAATAGTTTTGCAACTGATTTTACGAAAAGCTGATGTAAATTACTTTAGTTACTTCCCTGATCAAAAAGCTGAGTTTACTCAAAAAGTCAATATAAATAACAGTTCCTGAGGGCATGGAAGTGTTTTCTGTCCATGTCACCACTACATATGAAGAAGCATGAAAGTAAAGATTAAGAGTTGCACTTCTTTGTATCTAGGTGCAAGAAGCAAGAGGAAGTGATTCCTGTCTGGGAACTGATTGTAAAATAAATATCTTCTGGAAAGATGGGTAAAAAATAAGCCCCAGGAAAATATCTAGAGGTCTCTTGGTTTTCCATCCTATTAATGCCAAGACATTTTGTCAGGGGCATCATCACTGAGGCAAAGAATTATTTTCTGCAGGCTGCAAAAGACACAGACTATGTGCTAAATACACCTTTGGGTCACTAAAAGTCTTCTGGCATCGAAAGACAGACTAAAAAATAATAAAGCATTATCAGTAGGCTTTCTTATACAGGTCATGAAGCCATCTAAAAATTACCTGTAGTTCAGAATCAAAATATTCTTAAATCATTTCTATATACAGCTAACTTCTACAGTGCAATTTTGGGATCTTGTTATGGTTTGCTTGCTTTTAAAAAAAATTTAAAGACATTACTTTCTTCTTGACATCACATTAACTTCAACATCTCTGACACACATAAATTCTTTTCTATCCATAAAAATTTCTGTATGATTTAAAATACCAATATCCATTCTCCTGAGAATTCAACCCTCAAAATATTATTCTGCCCATTTTGGTGATATTAAAGAGAAGTAGTACTCATATAGCTCTTGGTATTTTTTCAGAATATAATCAAAAACATAGATGTAAAAACTCATTAAGGAATGGAAGTTATCTAAGAGCTTCAATGTTTTGAGTGTTGGCTGGTTTTTTTGCATGATTGTTTGGTTTGGGGACAAAATTCAATGAAACTTCAATAAAAAGAAATAAGACTTTGGACTATACCTGTGTAATGTTCCCTAGCATCTTCTAGTACTACCTCAGAGTCACCTTAAATAAAAATATTTTACATTTCCATCAATTTTCATGCAACAGCTAAATAGCACATGAGAACTTAAATAGTCACATATTTAGCACAAGAATAATAGAACTAAACATACTGAGTTAATACTACAATATTTTATTTGAAAATAACAGCTGAATTGTAAAACACATCCAGGAGATGCACCATAAAACAAAGAATATAATAAGTTCATGCACATTTCTATTTTGGTTTAAAATTAAGAACATAAGTGGGTCTTGGACAATCAATCCATTGGTTAGACTGCAAGACTCCTGACAGAACAAGATTGTAAGTATTTGTGGATTGGATTCATGAAGTGTTATGCTCACAAATGCAATGGTAACACAGTGGTAAAAAAATCAGGCTTACTTGAAACAACCTAAAAACTGTTTGAAAATAAAACTGTGATGAAACAGTCAATATGACATATTACTTTGTAGCAGATTTAAAAAAATGTGAGATTATATCATCATCTGAAGTAATGAAAATTTACAAACCTGGAGCTTCTGGATCACTTACTCTTCCCTCCATAGATACAACATAATCATCTGAAGCTGTAAATTAAATATGAATAAATATTTTGACATAAAAAATAGGATTTTTTTAAATATTTGATTGTTTTAACTTGCATCCATAATGCATCTGTCAATAGCTAAATGTAGCTCCTTAGTTGAAAACTGACAAATTAAAACTTTACAAACTGATACAACTTGACACATGGCAATCTAATGGAAGGTCTTGGGTCACTCTCTCTTGTAGTCCTCTGTTATACAACCTGTATGAAAAGTAGATCCACGTGAACCATTACTCTCCAGCATATTTTTTAATATTTTTTTAATATGAATGAAAAAATGCAAACTTCCTCTATCTTCAAATTCTACAGTATCTTCTTAACTGACATGCAGGAGTCTGACTTCATGATGATCCACAGAAGACAAGATATGAGCCAGAAATCAGAACTTGCAAAATATGTACTTCACTTCTGGCATCACAGATTTACAGCAATTCACTTCTTTTCACTACCTAGTTAAATATGTGTATTAATTCTCCTCTATGACTACAATTCTTTGCAATGTTGTTGATATACTTGGTATGACACATCTGACAAAACACAATACTGAAGGTAAGAAACTAACCATCACAGTTTGGATTCTAAACCAGTAACTGGAAAGCAGTAATCTCCTACATAGTTTGGAATAAACAGTGTTAGCTGATCAAACAAATTTTTTTCTACTTTTCTGTCACATTTGGCATCAAACAGGACTGCAACGTCCAGAACTAACATTGAGTCAAAAAGAAGAAGCCTAGTCCAAACATAAATCCATGTCTAATGTAAACGGAAAAGGCTGTCTGTACTATAAATAAACACTGTTAGAATCCTGAAGAAAATATTTATCAGACAGCAGGGAAACTGTAATATCGACCTAATGCTTCTACATAATGGGAAAGATGAGCTAATGCCATTGTACATGATATCAAGCACAATCAGAAGATGACTATAAGCTAATTGGATTAGTCCAGGCAAAATTTCAAAAAGCTTTCAAGATGTATTAAGGTGAGCAGAAAGACAGCACATGGATAGTTCAGAATCATGTCCTTGGCGCTGACTCACTCTCTGATAGTAGAGTCAGACACAAAGAAACAAACAGTCCTGAAGAAAAAGTTAAAAACTGGATGCTTCTGATGCCAAGAATAACAGTCTAGAAGAACCTTAGTATTGCAAACTGTAAGAAGGCAGTAATATAAGCAATAAATCTCATTCTCACTTTCTTAGACTGTACGAACCACAGACCTCTTGCCTAGCCAGATCCCAATCATACACAACAGCCAGAAACACACAGTAAATATAAAGTTTGTGCAGCAATGAAAGCAAAGTTCCCATTCCAGTCATCCACTAATAAAGACTTTCAACAGCAAGTATGATACAGCCATCTCAACGTAAAAATATCCATGACAATACAAGAAGTTATTTAGAGAAAAAAAATTCAAAATTACATATTTCTAAACCAGTCTAACAGTTTCTATTTTTCTTTCTCATACAATTTGTTACACTTAGGCAGAAAACCAGTATTACTTAGTTTAGAAAAATAAAATGATACCTGGAACTTCATAGGGCTCAGACTCCACTGCTTCAAGACCATCTGCCAAAAGATCAGCATCTGAAAAACAAATATGTTTATACAAATTGTAACATTTTTATATTAATACACAATACCACAAACCCTATAACAGATATTATATAAGAATGGAGTCAAATTTCTAAGCAGAAATTCTAAGCAAATTTCTTTTAATGGCAGCAAGACGTATACAGACTGAAAAAATAATACTTACAATTTTATTCTATATAATATTGAGAATGTGTATATATGAATAAACTCTATACACACTTGCTCAAAAAAGATCATTATCCACAGAAAGTTTTGTGTAAATGTGAAGGAATAAGAATATATTTACTTTGCCTTCTTAATTGCAATGATATAAAGTAACTGGAATTTTAGTATCTCCTCTAGTGTCCTACTTTAAGTTGAACTGTGGATGAATAAAGGAGATACAGAAACAAAGAGGTATAATAGACTCAGATTGAAAAGAATTACTTCTGTTGTGAAGAAAAAATCTCAGTGTATTTCCAGTAATTAAAACTTTCAGATGACATCTGTTACATGAGTTTTTCAAAGAGATGTATTAAGAGATGTGTAAGATTTCCAGTAGGGCAGATAAAAAGCATTCAGAAACCATTTGCCCCAGGTTGGATTAGATCATATGATTCTGCTTAAATATTTTTACTATAATTTTTATCATGCTGTCAAAGCCCCAAGACAGCAAGATATGAGCGTCTTTTTTATATGATGTCTTCATCTCTGCAGGACTTACAACATAATTGATGCATAACAATCTCTTAGGGAGACACATTTGAATGGCAGAAGAATAAGTCTGTCTAGAAAAGGCTCCGTTAATAAACTCTTAAAATTTAGTTAAATAAACCAGGAATTCCAGAAGCAGGTTCCATACAGGTATTACTGATGGGGAATGGACAGATTGAGAGCAGCCCTGCCAAGGAGCTGAGGGTGCTGGTAGGTGAGAGGCTGGACATGGAACACCTCTTCTCTGAGAAAAGGCTGAGGGAATTGGGGTTCAGCCTGAAGAACAGAAAGCTCTGGGGTGACCTTATGGGAGACTTTCAGTCCCATAAGGACAAGAAAGCTGAAGAAGAACTTCTTACAAGGGCACGTAGTGATAGGGGTTTTAAACTGAAAGAAGGTAGGTTTATATTTGATATAAAGAAATTCCTTACTGTAAGGGTGGTGAGGCACCTGGAACACGTTACCCAGAGAAGTTGTGGATGCCCCATTCCTGCAAGTGTTCAAGGCCAGGCTGCAAAGGGCTTTTGAGAAACCTAATGTAGCGAAAGGTGTCCCTGCCCATGGTAGGGGGGTTAGAACTAGCTGATCTTTAAGGTCCCTTTCAACCATTCTTTATGATTATAGTCATCCCTCTATTGTGGAGAGATATGCATATCTGGAGTACAGATTAATTTGGTTGAAAACCAATACAGCATTAATTAAATAATAATATATAGTTACCTGAATTCCAAAACACAGAGCATTAAAATATACCATTTTGATTTAAAAGATATTTATTTGCTAAATAATGCTATCTGTGTTTGATACTTGCTATGTCTCTAGTCTAAGTAGAAATTACAAGTCAAGCTTTTCATGAGACATTTACATTTGTCTGGGTTGTTTGGTTGGGTTTTTATTTTGTAAATTTAATTTTAAATGTATTTAATCATTCAGATACCTTTCTGAATTGAGTCTGGTGTCTCATATGCTTCTGGTATTTCATTCTCTAATTCTCTGTGCATGTCATCTGTTGTAGGAGCTTCAAAAGTTTCTCCATGTATTTCTTCCTTCACTTGCCACTGGTCACTTATACTTGCATCTACATCTTCATGCCTCTCTCCTAATCAATAATGCAGATTGTTAGTGAATACATACTCTTTGGTATATTCAATTACCAGGAAATATTCAGTCTTCAGTACACCCTTCGTGTTTTCCAACAATTCTCTAAAGGGTATGAGGAGGAGGACAGATAATTTGTACCTGCCAGCACAATAAACCCAAACTATCTACACTGACTTGACAGGGTCTTCTCTGCCCACAGTAAAGGCCATCTCTGTTCTATGCATTCTTGCACTCTACGCAGTATATTGAGCAAGTTTTTGTCAACTGACTGATTTGAACTATTGCTGCCAAATACCTCTGGGTAAGAGGTCACAGTTTTAGGATTTGGTGACTGAACCTTCCAAGTTTTCTTGAAAATGACATATGAGCTTAGAATGTTTTATGCAGGCAAAACTACTTTAAGCGCATACCAAAACCAGACTGAGATACATCTAGCCTATGGCAGTATTTATAAACTCTTCAGTGATTCCTAAGTGTTAATGCATTACCAGGCTGGGAATGGAGAGTTTCATGAAGAATAGACTGACTTTCGTCTTCCAATTCTACGTCAGCAGTCTTGTGTTCTAAAAGGATTATAAATTGCAGTGAAAGTAAGTGTAAAAGGCAATGTCTGAACATTAGCTCAAGGCTCACAGCCCTTAGCAGGCTCTGTAAAGTTCTTATTCTGTTCCATAAAGTTCCCTAGAGACTGACCCAGTGAATCTCTTCAACTCACACAATTACAAGAACAATTTTGTCTTGTTTAGTCTCAAATATAGAAAGTATTGCATCAATCACATCAGATTTGTTCTGAATATGAATTCAAAGAATTTATCTACACTGCATTTTCTGCACATATATTTTTCTCAAGGGCAGTAACATCTTTAGATAACTATTCAAACCAAGAACTCTCATTGAAGTAATTATTTTACTAATACTTTAATCCTTTACCTTCCTACAATTTAGGCAGCAGCACTAGCATGTCATATTTGACAACAAAATGCCACTTGCAAAAAATAGGGTCTTGTTGACTTCATAAACAGGGAAAATAGATACTAACATTACAATATCAAGGTCTTATTCTACTATGAATTGCCAGGAGAAATCACAAACTGGTTTCAGGGACAAGTGATTGGCATCTAATACACCAGCCCAGAACATAACAGGAATTTGTATGAAGTGTTGCCTTCATATAAATGTCCTGAAATTAACACTCAGAAATGCTACAGCACAAAAAAACCAGATCACAGCTGCATTTTCAAATAAAGACCTAAAATGGTACCAGTTATGGGAAAAAAAGTAACGCAAGTCTCTTATAACAAAATCTATATCCCATTTTACTGGCCATATACTCCGTATTTGTGCATTTATATGTTAGGTTGATATAAATATCAAGTAGGATAAGCCATTCCAAGGAGCAGAAAAAACAGGTACTCTCTGAATAACACTAAAATACAAATTGCGTACATGAAATGTGACATGTAAACATTTTTCCTGAATCCCTCTTTAACCTAACACATTTTACTAATACTATGGGGCTTTTAAAATGTTTGGCTTTTTTTTCAACAGTAAAAGCCCTACTTATGGTACTTATGATATACCATTGGTTTTAGTGGAAAAAGGAATATTTGATTGTATTATGAAGTTGGTTCTTTGGAGTTTTTTTTGTTTAAGGTGGAGAATCTGCTGTTATTCTGACTGGATATACAGTTGCAAATGTATCTAAACCACAACTGTACATCACCAGAAAGTTATTCTGATGTAATACAGATACAATGATAACCATGAGGGCTGACTAGAGCAACTTCTAGACAGTAAAATTTTGCACTTCTCACAGTCAGTGATTTATACAAAGTTATCAACAGTGATTCCTGTTAAATAAACTTTGGTACATAAGTAACACAAAATCTAGGAAAGTTTGCATGCTAAAGAAACAGAATTATAATCCAAATGAAGCATTATGTCTTTTGTTTCACCTATGGTTTATTAAAGGCCTTACCTGATTCCACATAGGACTTCTCAGCAGCCTGGAGAGTCTCCTCAGATTCTGGTGGTGTTGGCTGTGCTGGGACAGATCTTTCTTTAAGGCCTGCATTTTTCAGTTATAAAGTTAACTTTATGTTCCTTTTGATCTGATTCAGTTATAAATTAAGAAAGTTGTTTCAACTAAATTAACTGATGTTACACTCTCCAAAAATGCGTTCAAACAATCATAATTGCAGGGCTGTCCTGATATACAGTGATATATACAGAAACTAAAGTGTATTCAGACAGTAAACAAATATGTTTGGAAGACATACAGGTGAGGGAGGGGGAAAAGAGACAAATTTAAGCACTTTATTTCAAATTAACTAAACAAATGACTGGTATTCTCAACATCTATTCAGTATCCAGCAGAAAAATAGGAAGCAGATTTTTTTTCACTGTTTTCAATTTGGGCAAAAAGTGTTTCATATGATCAATTTTATAGCTTCTATGAACAATTAATTTGAACTTTACAAAAAGCTAAGAGAAAGGTATTTTAAATTCATGTGTTACATCTTAGATCTTATGAAGAGAACTGTAGTTTCTTCAAAATAAGGTAATCTGAATCTCCAGCTTCTTTTGACAATTAAATGACTACAGAAAAAGTATGAGTGATGGAATTTCACCAGCTAAATGCTTACTATTGATACCACAGAGTCTTTCTAGATCAAAACACAATGAAAAGAAAGCAACCAATAACTGCAGCGATCAATACCTTGGTAAGAGATAAAGGTAACTCTTAGACGTGAAAGATTATGCCACATCTTAAGACAACATAAGCTCAAGAATCTACTGGTATTAGGCTAATTCTCCTCTCCAATCTCCTTTAGCAAGGTTCAAGGAAGACTTATACAAGAGGTTCAGACAGGGCATAAGAAAAAAGTTACACACTCGTGCATCCAGCCTGCACCTCCCTCAGGCACAAAGGACGTGAAATCATTGGAAAAGGCTGCACAGAGAGGCTGTGCGTTCCCATCCTTGGAAGTTTTAAAGACCACGCTGGATAATGGCCAGAGTAACCTGGTCATTCCTCTGAAGTGACCCTGTTTTGAACAGGATGTTTGAATAAGGATCTCCTAAAGCTCCTTCTAAATGGCATTCTTCTATAATCCTACATCCATGGTCAATTATGATAAGACTACCTTAAAGAAACACACATACGCACACCGGCCAAAGGAAACTAGTTTTTCAAGAGCTGTGTACACAGAAATCAATAGAAAAATAATATTTAATAAAGCAGAGGCTACAATATAATGAACACTCCTGTACTGCTAACCATCTTGTAAAAGTAACTTTTAAGTGGAATAACATAAATAATAATAATTACCATGTTTCTAATGGAGTAAAACATATCTCAATACAAAAAAGACTAGTATGTCTAAACCCAAATTTGTGTAAAACAGAGATATTATTCTACGCATCATGAGAAAAACACGTATTTATTTCAAGTAGTGGAAACAGAATACCAGAATCAATTCTATCTTGATCTATTATTAAAATTCAACCAACCTGAAGATAAGTTAAGCTTTATCCAAAAGTACTGTAACAGATTAACTCCACTATCATGAAGTCAAAATCAGAAGCTAGGAAAAAAGCACCAAATTTACCTTTAATTTTTTGCCAATTTTCTTCCGTGTTATTAAAAAAACCCCCATAAAACATTAAAAAATATTATTTAGACATTAATCTCTTGCTGCAGGAATATTAATTGCTACAAAGGTAAGAACTTACTTCCTTCTACAATCACGTTTAGATGAAGACACAAACAGTTACTTAGTATTTGCCACCATCTCACACTTCAGAATCTGCAAACACAGACACAGCCACACAGACCTTACATATACACTCCTCTGTATAAGTCTTCGTATTCTCCAATAACCCACATCTCCAGTAGCAGACAACCACCTGCTCTGCTTCACGAACAATAAACGGAATCAAAGTATTTCAAAAGATAGTCAGTATTTCACATCCAACAAGCACTATGGGTACTTAACAGGAAAGAAGGGACTACAAGAGTAGTTCTTGGTTTTGCTTGTGCATTTCTCAGCTTCACTTTTAAGCTTTTTATACACATCTATCATGTTTATGACTGATTCCTATACAATCCTGTTGAGTATGGAATACATTAAGCCATCTACTTTTTGCAAGATACTATTTTCTCTCTTATTTTTATTAAGTTGCACTCAGTTTTTGCTTGTGTGATCCATTTTTTGAGCTTATGTGATAAATTGCCAGATTAATTTTAATTACATTAACATGTCACAGAGATGTACAACAACACAACAGATCTCTGGGGCAAAAATATCATTTTATTGTGTGGCTATCTGTATAGCCTGGAGTGCTGCTCAAATAAAACGTTCCTTGAAAAGAAAAAAACCCACCCAACTTTTTTAGAACCAGATAAACTTTGGGTCATAGATACAATAATATGTTAATCAGAAAAGTAACTCATTCCAAATTTGACTCCCACACAGTTACAAGTTCTATCACACTATGGGAGAAAATAAAAAGTGATGTGCACTATACCACTGTGCCACCATCTTGAGAAGTGTGATTTGAATGATCCTCTGGTCAAATATGTATCTTAACACTTATCAGAGCAAAGCTGAATAAATACATCTATCATCACCAAAACCTAAAAGAGAATGCTCATTATGCAAGTGCATTTATTAGATCTTCATTCTGTCATATTTTTTGCTAAACACTATAATGTTCACAACACACATCTCTTCCCTCCCTCTTCATGCATTTATAAATATTTAGAAAATACCTTGGTATATCATCTCTGTTAATTATCACAGCTAGAACCTTAAGCTCCTATACTATTTTCTATAGCTTTAACGCAAACTGTTTTTCGTAACTATTTGAACAATGTCTCATCTCCTTTAAAACAAAATAAAATCAGATCATTTTATACCTCTAGGGATCAAGGCATGTTACAGACACATGTACTGAATGGCTAAGTGTATTGCCAACTGTTATACACAAAATTTTAGCAAAACCACAAACAGAATTAACCTTCAGGACTTCTTCAATCTGATATTACCATCCATATGCATATACTCATTCTCAATTTTTCTCCTTAGTTTTGTTTTCTTTAAACTAATACTGCAGTATTAGTAATTATTAATTAATATGCTATTAATTAATAACATGAATAAATTTTAAAATTTCATTACAAATTTTGTTCTGAATCCTGTGTAATTATATTGTGCAATTGCTTGCAATATACTTGCTTTCAAGTTTATTTAGAAAATATTAATTTCCAAATAAACTTGAAAGCAAGTATAGATTCAATAACATACTGAAATATCTCTAATATATCTGCAGAATGTTTCGTAACTTTATTTATTCTAATGAGACTGCTGGATAAATCCTTCCTTGATGCTACAAATACAGAAGCTGTAAGAGCAAACTAACACAGGATCTTGCTTATAGAAGTATCATGCACTTGGAAAGTATTAAAGGAAATAATAGTTGCCAATATATATAAGCTGTTCTCTAAACAAGTTCAACTAGAACAGAGTAGTAGTAGCATATCACTTCTTAAGTGTAAATGGAATCCAACAATGCTTATTAATAGTGAAATAGGTGGCCTAATTTTAAGTAGTGTTCATTACCCAAGAACTTGGAAAACTTAGAAAAATCAGGACACAGTTAACTGAAAAGGGACTATGAATCAAACTTTCCAACCTATATAGAGTTAAGTAAATAATTAAATAAATAAATAGAGGATTGAAGAAAAGTAAAACATATTTTCAATATGGATCAATAGATAAAAATGTTGCAATGTATTGCTTGAGTATACACTGGAGTCTCATAAACAAGTGCAACACTGAAGTGGATTTGACTGTGTATAAAATAGTTTTCTCAGGGAAAAAGTATTTTACCTAGGGAAAAAACATTTAGGAGGGAATAATTTACATTTATTTGATAAGTTCCTATGACAATACAGTCCATTAATGCTCCTCTTCATTGTTTCTGTGAAACAGAAATATTTTATCTGTGAGTTTCCCCTACATGTGTCCAGATAATTCTCTTAATATTGCTTTTAAACTTGCATTTCAAACACAATATTAAACTTTCATCTCCACATCAAGAAAATAGTACCTAAATACAAGGAAACAAGGAAGGCTAAAAAAAAAAACAAAATATCAACCATAAAGCCCCAAACCCATATTTAGTGTAGGCTTGAAGTAACTGACATGACTTTGACATTCGAATGTTTTCAATACACACTGGTAGCCGGGCACATTAACATATGTACATACTTGAGTTTCACAGCAGGTCTTTGTGCTTTGTGTTTACCATACTAGTACACACTGAACAGTTTTCAAAGAATTATTATATATAGCCTTTTTTTCACATTTATTTCCAGAAAACATTATTTTCTTACTGCCATTTTTACCACATTCATATAACTATGCTGAATTTCTCATTCCTGAAGTATGTTCCTCTTTAGCAGAACGGGAATTGTTTATTTCTTTTCTTTCTTGTCTTCCTTGGATTGGTTTTTGACTATCTTTTTTGTTTCTTTGTCTTTTCCCACCTGAGTAGTACCATCCTTTTCACTGGCTGACTTTTTTGTAGTCTCCTTGGATTTTACATTTTTGTCTAGGCCTTTTTCCTTTCCTCTGTCTCTTTTAGCCTTGTCAGAATCTTTCTTTAATTTATTTATATCAACAGCTTTCTTGTCCTTTCGATCAGTAGCATCTTTTCCTTTCCTGGCTTTCTTTTTTTCTTCTTCATCTTTGATTTCCTGCTTCTTGGATTCCTGCTTCTCCCTTAATTTCTTGAGTGGTTCTTTAACAGCTTCTTTTACTTTTTAGTTTTTCATTTAAAAAAGAGGAAATGTTCAATAAGAGAACCATTCTTAGGTCATAAAACATCTTATGAACAACTATCTAAAAGTTTTGATCAAAATATTATTTAATGTTTGTTAGATGCCAATTTAAACTTGTAAAATTAACTTCTAGGCTTTTAGCAATTTAAACAAATTAGTTTTGACTTCTAGCAATCTCACACCATGCAGTCAGCAAGCAACCTTAGCTTATATTGCAGCTG